GAAGGACTGAAATCCTGCAGCGCCCGCAAGGTCCCCCTGCTCAAGAAAGCACATATACATGCTCGTCTGAAGTTTGCCAATGAACATCTGAATGATTCAGAGGACAACTGGGTGAAAGTGTTGTAGTCAGATGAGACCAAAATGGAGCTCTTTGGCATCAACTCAACTCGCCGTGTTTGGATGAGGAGGAGGAATGCTCCCTATGACCCCAAGAACATTCACCCCACCGTCAAACATGGAGGTGGAAACATTATGCTTTGGGGGTGTTTTTCTGCTAAGGGGACAGGACAACTTCACCGCATCAAAGGGACGATGGACGGGGCAATGTACCGTCAAATCTTGGGTGAGAACCTCCTTCCCTCAGCCAGGGCATTGAAAATGGGTCTTGGAGGGGTATTCCAGCATGACAATGACCCAAAACACACGGCCAAGGCAACAAAGGAGTGGCTTAAGAAGAAGCACATTAAGGTCCTGGAGTGGCCTAGTCACTCTCCAGACCTTAATCCCATAGAAAATCTGTGGAGGGAGCTGAAGGTTCGAGTTGCCAAACATCAGCCTCGAAACCTTAATGACTTCGAGAAGATCAGCAAAGAGGAGTGGGACAAAATCCCTCCTGAGATGTGTGCAAACCTGGTGGCCAACTACAAGAAACGTCTGATCTCTGTGATTGCCAACAAGAGTTTTGCCACCAAGTACTAAGTCATGTTTTGCAGATGGGTCAAATACTTATTTCCCTCATTAAAATGCCAATCAATGTATAAAAATTTTGACATGCGCTCTGTACTGTTCGCCTTTCGGCGTTCTCTGGTCTGACACTAGTCAGTCAAGGCAATAAAAGAATGTGTCTGGTGTAGGCCAATCAGTTTCAAAGACAATGCGTATATTAATTATTATCGCAGCATGTTCGTTTGTTTGCATGTTTTCTCACAAATGCGTGTGGCTAATGCAGGTTTGATTGCTTGCAAAAGGTATTTATTTGGAGTTTGAACATCTTAATACCTGTTTTATTGCCAGAAAGGGTAAAAGATCTTCTTCATAATTTACCCGAACATATTTTTCATTTGAATATTAATTTCTGTTGAAATTAAACCTGAACTTAATTTGTAGAAATTAGATAATTAAATTGTTGCAAGACATCTGGATCACCCTGTATAGGCCGTTTTCCGGTTCTTTCTTTTTTAGTAACATTCTTATTCGGAGAAATAAAGATAGGTGTCTTTATCGCGGCTATAGCTGGACACAAAGAAGCTGCTTTTGCCGTTCTCTCGGAATTTGCAGCGCAACAGAACCGTCGTCACGTGACGTCACAATGGGCTCATTAGCATGCGCGTCAGCTCGGTTGCCTTGAGCGTTTCGGCGCTAGACCGATGCACGCGTTTTACACTTCCATTCTGCACACATTCGACGCTAAATTACCATTAGGGGCCGTCCATAAATGACGTCACGCACCTGGGGAGGGGGGGTCAGACATTTGTGACGATGTGTGACGAGGGGGGGGGGGGGTTGAGAAATGTGACGTCACATCAAGATGTGCAACTTTAAATAAATATAGACAACGCGTTCTACTTACATTTTGATTTAAAGCTTTCGTGACTGCAGGGATTCATATTCTTGGTTCTTTCGGTAAAGTCACGTAGAAGGGAAACGATAAAATAAAACAATTATAGATTAACATAGATGGACTCGCCCATCTGAATAACTGTCAAATCGCTCTCCGTGGTCCTAACGTTAAAAAAACCCGCCACTTTTTTCAAAATTTCTTGCTGTGATTTTCACACCTGATGATGATTACTTGTGTTGCAGTCGAAACGTCTTGAGAATTTTATTGTTTTCTATTTTTATTATTTTATTGTTTCCCTTCTACGTGACTTTACCGAAAGAACCAAGAATACGTTCTACTTAATTAAATAGACTTTTTAATAAATGTTTTCTCCTACATCAGAGTGCAGCGGCACATTAAATACGCACTACAATGACAATAGTTTAAAGCGAATCGAAGCATGTTTTATATTTTTTGGGGGGGGGCAGAGCTTTGTGACGTCATATTTGAGTGGGGGTCTGACTTTTTGTGACGCCGTGTGACGAGGGAGGGGGTCAAAAATCGTCCAAAATCACGTGACGTCATTTATGGACGGCCCCTAAGCAAATTGCGATAAGAATACAGTCATGCACAGTGCGTTGTCACTGCAAGGAAATTAAGTCAAACAAGATTTGTCTGCGTTAACTGTTTAAAATCCAATAGTGATCTTGTATTATATATAACGTGCCCATGTTGCTATAAACGTTGCACAATTTCATTTAATTATGATCAATGCACTCGCGCAACTTCTGCGATGTGTTTAAGTTGTAGCATAGCTGTCAGAATGTCTTGCACCATTAATTAAAATATAAAAAACAGAACACGGGACAATGATTTAATTATTATTGAGCCCCCCCCACCCACCACCAAATCTCCCTCCCCCTCGGCGCAAGATAATGGGCTATCTGCACCATGGACCGAGATGATGATGTGATCATGATTTGTAATTCCGTGGTGAAAATCGGCACGTGTGGCTTGGTGCAGAATTTGGCGTGGTTCGGAGGGGCAGCACGTGACTGCGATGGGAAGCGGATCACGTGGAGGGGACAGCCTCCCCCCCACCTCCCCGGTCACCTGACCACCTCCATGATAATCGACAGCGCCACGTGCTCAAGAGTCTGCCCGTCATTATCGATGGTGGTGAACTGTGATCAGCCAAGAACAGCTATCGGGATTTCTTGCACCCAAAAAAAAACCCCGCCAGGATGTGCATGCGCGGTGTGCATGGATAGTTCAATGTATGCGCATCGCGCATGCGCGTTGTGCCATTCAAATTATGTCTGTCGATTAACCGATGAATAACCCAACCGGCAATGGTTATCCATTGCACTTTACATGACCTCCCCCCACTAGTCTGCGCACCTAATTGGCTCACACGTGACGGCGTCACGTTTATCCCCCGTCTATTTGAGACCGAAACAGGAGGACGATTTCTCCACAACTCTGGCTATCCGCCTGATGATGCTGGTTGCAATTTGCCGGCGCAACGTCACGGTAACTCGAATTGTAAATGTTGTGGTTTTACTCTCCAACGCACCGGTGTGCTGTACTAGTAATTCATTGGCACGTTTTGTTTACGTGACCAATATTTGTACGCGACCTGACCCAAAACATTATAATATGGACCTTTATACAGCAGTGCACACGTGAAACGCGACACGGTCGTAGGCCTAACAAATAATACGTTTTAATAAAGTATACCATGTATATTAGTTAAACGTCTATAGCTTCTACGTGTGCTATAAATAAGGGCTATTTGCTCGAAACTTCGCCAATACTTTTTTTACTTTCACGGCCACGTGTTTTTTTGTTGACAGACCTATTATTTCGATTTAAAGCTTTCGTGACGGCAAGGATTCATCTTCTTTGGTTCTTTCGGTAAAATCACGTAGACTGAGAATAAAATAATAAATTGATAAAATAAAATAACACAATAATATTCTCACGACGTTTCGGCCACAACACAAGCGGCCTTCATCAGACAGTCTCATCCCTTCACCTGATGAAGGCCGCTTGTGTTGTGGCCGAAACGTCGTGAGAATATTATTGTGTTATTTTATTTTATCAATTTATAATTTTATTCTCATTCTACGTGACTTTACCGAAAGAACCAAAGAAGACCTATTATTGCATTGGGGGACATCCATAAATGACGTCACGCGATTTTGGACGATTTTTAAATATAACGTGTTATCTATACAGTATTTATTTAAAGTTGCGCACTTTGATGTGACGTCACATTTCTCACCACCCCCCCTCCTTCGTCACAAATCGTCACAAATGTCTGACCCCCCTCACCCCCTAGGTGCGTGACGTCATTTATGGACGGCCCCTCGTAGCAGCAATTGCATCGTCACCAAATTAATGAGTAAGGGGGGGGGTGGCAGCAGCAGCTCACGGCCACCGAGAACCCGCTGATGATTACAGTGTAACAAAAAAATTGTTCCTGGGTAGTAAGTGTTATTTTATAATTTCTTTAGGCCTCAAAAGTACAAAAAATGGCTATTATTATTATTATTCACCACAAACTTTGCTTTTGTGACCAGGACACAAAAGCAAAGTTAATAATCCACTCCATTAATAACACTGTGTAACAAATGTATTTATTTCGATTTAAAGCTTTCGTGACTGCAAGGATTCATCTTCTTTGGTTCTTTCGGTAAAGTCACGTAGAATTTTATTGTTATTTAATTTTATTAATTTATTATTGTATTCTCATTCTACGTGACTTTACCGAAAGAGCCAAAGAAAATGTATTTATTTTGTTTTGTTCCTGGGTAGTAAGTGTTATTTCATAATTGCTTATGCCTCAAGTATGGAAAATGGCTATTATTATTCCCCACAAACTTTGCTTTTGTGACCAGGACAAGTGATATTTTTTAAATGTTCCTGTTTTAAATGAGAAAACGTGGTGTGCATTTGTGTCATTCCTTCACGTAAAATCCCTGTCACAAAAGGAAAGTATGTGTGGAATAATAATAATAGCCATGTTCTATACTTTTTGAGGCATAAGCAATTAGAAAATAACACTTACTACCCAGGAACAGAAAATCGTGTTACACACCGTTCAAGGGCCTCATCCCCCTAGGTCGACTCAGCCTCAAATGCCGGTGATGTGGTGTGCAAATGCGGCGCATGGTATAAACGTCCCCACTGTGGAGAGACAAAGGCGGCCGGGCGTGTTGCCCGCCACCACACCCGCTTCGTGTTGCCGTGCCGGCCTTCACAGGTGCAGCTCGCTCTCGGCACTTGCCCCTAGAGTCTGTCACAGGCTACGCGGGGGACCTTTGCCTTTGTAGCCGAGGAGGAGGAGCAGGAGGAGCAGGAGGGGGGCGGGGAACTTGTTGATCACGTGCTCGCACAGCGACGCGTGGATTGGGTGAATCCGCGGGTGAGGTCACGCGGGGTCTCGGAGGGAGGGGGCCGTTGCCGTGGTTACGAGAATCTGCGTCTGTGGAGCGTCGGCGGTAAGAGCGGACGGCAGCCTCTGCTGCCTTCTAATATTTAGAATTAACAACAACAACAATAAGAACAACAATAATAATAACAACAACAACGATAATAGCGACAGGTAGAGTTGATTCCCACTGCATTCGCCTTAATCCAAGCGCTTTGTTTTTTTTGTGTGTGTTCTTGGGGTGAAGGAACGCGAGGGCCGTCCGTTAATTGCGCGGTTCGCGCTGTCATTTAACCCAGGCCCAGCGACGCATTTACAATCGGAATCTTTTATAATTTACACCGCAGCTGTTCGTATTCGCGACCACAGTTGGTAGCGATCGACTTACAATTGTTAAGGGGAAAGGAAGGCGATGCACTGCGGCAACACGAGCTTCGTCAATCGCTGAGTCGCCCCCTAAAGAGGCTGTTTGAGGTGAGTGCTGAGACCGATACGACTCGACGCGCGGTCCAAATTGTTATTGTTGTACAATCGCCGAACAATTTGTTGACCCCGAATTGTTATACTAAGAAACACATTATTAACATAACCGGACCATACCCTGTCCATCGCTGAATCGAGGGCCACTTCCACGCCGCTCAGTCGCAGCGGCATTTTAATCAATCTACGCGGACTTTAAAATGGACATGAGAGCCCCGCCTCCAATCTATTTCACGTGCGCCTCAGTGACATGACGCGCTCGTTTCTACGTCTGAATGTTGTGCTGCGTTACAAATCGCGTCGTCTTCATCATTGTCACTCACGGTACAGTCGCATCTGAAATCCGTGTAGCGTCCCCCGTCCCTGCAGCAGAAGCTGACTTCACGTGGACGTCCTCGATCGCGCGTTCCACCCCGTCCTTTAGCTGCCATTCCGTACCAACCCGGCCAGCATCATCATCATCCTTTGTAAACGGCGGCGTGCCCTGCCCTGCCCAAACACCCACTTTTGTTTACATTCAACGTGATATTTTTTAACTCGCGTATGTTATCAAGTTCATCGTGTACGCCCTTTACTCCCACACCCGAAATAGGAGGGTCACCTTCGCCGGTTATCCCTTCACGGTCGATAAAATGAGTAACATTTAGTCGGCAGTAGAGGTCAGTTAATGGAGGCTGATTCCTGCCGTGGGAATGTGAAATTTATCATCAGACCCGTCAGTGGAGACCATTCATTTCACCCGCCTGAGCAACAGGAGGCATTTTGATTGACCATTTAACCAGGAAGTTTAACTGGGTATTAATATTACTATGTTGCGCTAAACACAATGTGGCGGGGAGGTGCGGATACGCATTGGTTGGCCCATTACCCTATGATCTCGACACCTGAGTCGGATTGCAGGTGAAGGCTTATGTCACTAGCGAGTGATATCTGAACCTGGCCTGGCCTCCTATCCTGCCACCTCCACGGCGAAGTATGGTAAAACAATCTCCCATGACCCTAATACAGCGTAAGGAGGCATTCATTCAGTAGTGGATTGACGAAAAGGTTGTAAGTGTACTAAATATTATATTGCAGGTATTCCTTTTTTGTTTCAACTTTTATTTCGCGGTCATTTTCAGTTATTTTATTCTCAAGGCGTTTTGTAATTTTGTTTAGCAAGTCACTTATTACAAAGACATCGGTGAATGTGCTTTGGAATTTGTGCATTGAGACCTGTGTTGTGAATGCGTTTCACCCAGTAGGAAAACTATAAAAACACAATTTAACGTGAGTTTGCATTGCACACTTTCGTCGACATCTGGAGGTTGCCAATTACATTATTATTGTTTATAGTGTGCTGTCATTGCATGGTATTTAGCATAAACACATACCCAGGTACGCATCAGTGTCAATAATTAGTTTTGTGTCAGTGCCAAATATCCCTCTGAAGTGGTAGGAAGCGAGGGCATCTTGAGAAACTTGGACAAACTGAGGAATACATACTAAAAGATCTGCTACAGAATGGTCTATGACTTATTTGCTATACTGTCATCTGTAGGTTGTCTTGTAGCCATGTAAATGCAGGTGGGTCTTATGCACACGATGATCTCTGTGTGGTCGACCAACTCTGCTTCCAAATGAAGGATTACCGTACACATATCGACCATCATGGCTACCACACCTGCTTCTTATATCAATGTATAAGTGCAGTACTAGGATAGGAATTACTCAATGATATGACGTGTGTGCAGGCTAAAGGATTTAACTTACTCCACTTTAGAAGCATGCGTTTAGAGCATACGGCTGCTATACATTTGCACATGATAAGCCACTTCGTTGAGCTATCATGTGTGGTCAGGTCGCTTCTGAAAAATAGCTGAGTGGGCCTTACCTGGTAAAAGAAATACAACTTTTTCCCATATTCATTTTTGATCATGGAGATTACTCAGTGCATATATCAAAGCACTAGGCTGTTAAATGTGATCATTGTGCCATAATTGAGGTAGCTGAGGATCAACATATGAAACAGCTGGGTTCACTTGGGCACACCTGGTGTTGCAGATATGTGAACTGGAGCAGATGGCACTGTCTCCCTGCACTGGACTGGCATGATAGCCTGAAAAGAAAAGCACTGTACAGTATTACACGTGTGAGATGTATTGCTTGTCCACGAATATGTGGGAAAGCCGGCTTAATGTTCTAAACTCCCTTGCAGTGACCCATATCCTGCCACTGATTCGCTGCCTCCCCTCATGCCCCCCTCCACGAGGATGGCTAATGTCCAAATGTCTCCGATCACTGCACAGATGACATGAGCATTAACTCACTCGTGTAAATTAGTGTTAACAGACTCCATAACCAAAGAGGCGAAGCTGCTTAAAGTGCTGTTCACCTTACCTGATTTTTTAAAAAAAAATAAAGCAATGAACAGCAGACCAGATGCTGCTGTTGACATAAATTGTGCTGACGTTTAGTGCCCCTGAATGTTGTTTGAGCAGTTAAGTGGCATGTGCTTTCAGGACCACAGTTCTCAGAACAACTGGCCAGAGACGCATTTCAATTATATGAGAACTAAGTGCCTCATTTAACCAAGAAAAGTAAATTATTTAAGTATGATTTATGAAAGCAAAACTACCAGTATACTGTATGGGTATCAGATGTTAAAAATGTGTACTATATTATTTTGAAAGTGGAATACAGTATATTATGCATATATATTTCTCCATCCAGTTTTTAGAAAATATCTTCCAATATCACTGTTCACTCCCCTTCTGATATGTATTTTGTTACTTTCCTCACACAGTCTCGGTGTAGCTGTTCCATCCCTGTAAATGGTTTTATCATGACTGAAGAGCTTAATAAAGAAGGCAGCAAAGTTGGGCTCAACATACATGTGAGTAAAACAACATTAATATTGACTGTTAAGAAAAAGTAAGTAAGCTTGGGCACAATCCATCGCTAAAAGGGATGATGGATGATGGACTGGATTGACGATGGATTGACGATAGAGTGGCAGCCTAAGGTGGGTATTTTGCTGAGATGGATCAATGAGCTAAGTAGATTGTTGCATCACAAGACCGTGAGGGATTGCAAGAACTTGGGGTGGCCTTCATTGTGCAGTGGCTTCATCATGGCTGAAAATAATTATCATGTATTGTTATTGTGCATGTATTTTATTTATGTTTTGATACATAGTGAGTCGAACATGTTTATTGATATTTTCTCTGTAGCATTTGCTTTTGTTTTCATTGAAGTCAATGCTTTATTCGACATTGCCAATATGGTATATATTTTTTTACATGCGTTCTATTAAAGCTGTATTTTTCGTCAAAAATATTGCTCATAATCAATATAAGCTGGTTATGCTGTAGGGCTGCATTTTTCAAAATAAGCTTGCTGATTGTGGGGAAAAAGGACTGCCATGCACAAGCAGAGCATTTCACATACCTCACCTATTGTTTTTTTAAATGCTTCAAGTATAGTGGTTCTCAGCACTGCTCCCTTAATCATAAGTGCTTTAAGCAGAAGTTGTTTTTGTGCTACTATGTGACAAAAGCTATGGCCTTTTGTATTTTTCTTTAAGTATTTACATAAATGTTTCCATTACTTACACATGGCACTTGATATATATAAAAAAAATTCTGCTCTTTGCCTTATTAGGTACTGTTCATGAGCATATATTATGGTCGGCAAGTAGCACAAGAGATAAATTTAAACTATGTTTCCCTCACTTTATGCGGTAGATGCATTTAAAGAAAATGCGCAAAAAGCGATACCTAACGAGACAGCTGCCTACTGAGTAGCACGTACACACAATGATTCCCCACATCCGACCACATCTGTGGACATCTGTGAGAAAGAGCTGCATAGATCGTCGGATTCTTACAGTCTAAATAAAGATTCTGACATAATCGCATATGAGTGAATTCAAACCACATACAAGCATACCACTTACAGTGCTCCGGGTGCGTTCTTGGTAAATGCAGCGCGATACGAAACAGCACTATAGGAGGTCACTATAACATGGTTCCAATGGAGATGCGTTACCGACAGCGCTTTTGGAGGCCATTATAACATGGTTCCAATGGAGATGCGTTACCGACAGAATTTGGTCGGAGCTTGCATAAGATTAACCACCGTCTGTTGTAAACACGCGTTCCGCGAGAAGCTACAACTAACCAATGAGCTTACTCGATCGATGGACCGCAAATGAATCAATGCTCTAGCGTGGCTGTCGGATCTACTACGAGCCGAATCGATACAATGGACACCTCAATTCTGGTTCCACAAGACCATATATGCCGACTATCTTTCATATATGAGCTGAACTGCGAAGGAGTTTCCCTCCAGGACAAAGAGCGTCATAACGAAACAGTGTTATAAGAGGCAGCGTTATAAGAGGCAGCGATATAAGAGGTATGCCTGTAGAGCAGATTTTGGGTATAAATAGGTTTGCCGCATATACGCGAAATCGCACAAACCGAATCCGCATAGAGCGAGGGAAATCTCTATAAATATTAAAACCCAATATCTTTAACCACATCGACTATTTTTCTATTTCGCATGCACACACGTATACACAAGATAAAAAAAAACATCCCCACCATTCTCCAGTGCTTTCATCATAGGCTGCTGTGTGGACAATTCGGAGCTCTCCTGAGAAATGGCACCCGTGTTGCCTTTAACGAAAAATGTCAATTGTTTCTTCCCCATTTTATTGAATGTGCGATGGTGCCGCATTCACCCTCATCGTGATGCTTATGATGCAGATGTCACCCTGCTGCAGCAAAAGCAACCGGACGGGGCCAGGGAGTAGCCAGAACATCCTGGGTACTGGGACAGTATCAATGCCACGCAAGCACCCACGAAAAAATGGCTGGAGCTGGCCACTGCACCTACAGCAGATTATCGCGTGGTTGGCCATAACCTATTTTGTGACTGTCGCCTTTGGCGCCTGCTTCCCCTTAATGCGGAGTCACTGGCAGCCATTGGCCTACATTGTATCCTTTGCAAAGATGAAAGTACGGCAATGTATCTTCACAGCATTTATGGAATTTATATTAGTGGTGTTTAGTATTCTCTTGTAGCCAGACATTTTTGGCAATGACCATATCTTTAGCGTTTAAAATTGAACACTTAATGATGAGCTTTTGTCAGTCTGCAGTGTAATACCTGCTTTCCTGGGTAAATGCAATTTTGCCATGCTGAACCAGGCTTATAAATAAGAAATATGCAAGGTATGACATTACACGTCTTGAAATGCTGTCGCATTTGGATATGTATATTTCAAAATTGTATTATATCGTTGACATGGTGCAAAATGTGTGTTCGTGTTTTTATTAACTAAAATTGCTTGTTATTTTCAAACAGGAACCTGATGTAGAATTCATCCTACGAGTGTTGTAAAATGTGTTTTATGTTGACTTAAAGCTTTCGTGACTGCAGGAAGTCATATTCTTGGGTCTTTCGGTAAAGTCACGTAGATAGGTTCAAATAAAATAAAATAACAACATTTTTTTGTTATTTTTGTTGATTTTATTTGAAGCTATCTAACTAAAAAACTTGTTTTTATTTTTTCATTATTTTATTTGAACCTATCTACGTGACTTTACCGAAAGACCCAAGAATATGAATGTGTTTTATATTAACGATCCCCTGTTAACGCAGTGTTGCACCTTAACCTGGTCTTCACCCTCAGGTCACATCGTTGGTACTTGCCATTCACGTGCTGATGCATATATTGGCAGTGTCTATTGACCCAGCAGATGATAATGTGCGCAGCAAAATCTTCAGTGAACCAGTGCCAATGTTTGACCGCAGCGTGCGAGCTCACGTTATCGAGAACAACTACTGTGTGCTTTGCAGAACCGACGTGTGAGTATGGGTTAAACGTCACGAGTTATTTTTTCCCGCAAGCACCATAAATTTAGTCCATGCCAGTTTGAAAAGGTTCAATGCATTCTCTGCCTTAATTGTGCATTCATAAAATGGACCTTTGCGTGGCTCTGGATGCTAGTTACCATGTCAGAACACTGAACCTGCACCAATTAGATCTTTGGGTTCAGTTCCAGGCAATGTGTGGTAATACCTGAGTCCTGAAGTGTTGTGAGTTGATGGTCTAAACCCAGTTACCAATGACGACATAAAATCCATCACTACTTTTGGTTACAAATTTCATTTGGAAAATACCTGTAATGAAAAAAAAATACTTGTGTAAATATCCATTCCCTGCTACAAACTCCCTCATAGTAGTGAACGTGATAAGATACATCACCTATAATGGATAGTCAATTGAAGACACCTGAGAAGTAGCTTCATGATATAGTCTTCCACAAGCCATCTTCTTACATAGGGTGATGCTCTGCTTTCTTCGTGAGCTCCACATTAACACATCTTCGTCTCATTACAATGACATAAAACGCTCAATTGGAATAAAATTGTCATTACAAATAAAACAAACTATAATATTTCCATGTGTTTGATCTTTGATCCACCCATCAATTGGTACAATACAATCTGGTGTGATCATGTCTAAATTATCCTGGTTATAATCACAGCGGTGGAAACCTTTTCTATCATAGAGGGAGAGTTTACAGTAATTGTGGAGGAATATGATTCTTAGTCTGTGGGAAGCAAACGTGTTTCAAGAGTACAGCGGCTAAAGTTACCCAGGTAACATTGAGACTTGAGAATCACTACACGTTAAAGGTAATTATCATATACGAAGATGAAGACATTGACTAAATGTATGAAAAATGAACCAACTGCTAAATCTGTGTAATTGAAAGAACTTATAAAGTAATCCATGACAACATTGTAATAGATAATAGAGGTTTTTTTGGGTTAGATCATATTGGTTGCGAAAGCCTACATGTTGTTAAACATTGTAATGGATTACTTTTATGTTAAAGTATGTAAAAGTTTGAGACTAGAGGATGATTGGTATCCCTGCAGTAGTGATGATTGGTATGTTTAATAGAGTGAGGAATGGGAGAGGTGCACATCTGTTAGAGTTTACACCCAGAAAATACATGGAAATTATACATTTAAAACAATAAGAAATCGAGGAAATGGATGTGGAGGAGCAAAATGCTAAAATTATAAGCAAAATCTATTTTATTCTGATGGTCATACCCCAGGTATTAAATAAATGCAACACCGGAAGCAATAACAGGGTGGTGAGATGCAAGTTGCAATTTAAAATCGTTAAAGCGAGGGCAAAACAAATTGATTACACATTTACAGAGCACGGGCCGGAAGGCTTAAAATGTCAAATGGCCAGCAACAAACAGCACTTTAAAAGTTGTAATGGATTAGAGTGAACTCGTTTCTTGAATGAAGCAAAGTTATATGAGCTTGGGAATATAGAAGATGGGGAGGGAATTTTACAGTCGATCGGTGTGAGGAAAGAAGAAGGAATACTTTTGACCTGCAGTATGGTGGGTTCACACAGTATGGACGGGATGAAACAGTCTGGTAGGTCAAGTCCTCAACATTGGCCTAGTCATCAATGAGTGAAGTTCACAGGAACTATAACCATGGTGATAGCGATAGAAGAGAGATAAGTAGGCAATTTAATTCTGTGGAAGAAACGCATTTTTTGTCAACATTACTGGACAAAAGTTCCTCTGTTTAAATTTAGCTTAATGTGGGCAAGTAGTGTTTTGGCAGCATTACTCTCTAGGGGCCTGAGCACTGAACAACTTGTGCAATTTTATAAATTGCGTAAGCCAAAACTTGTCCGAACTCTTGGTTCCATGTGGGATTCAGGCAAGGGAAATCGTGTAAATTCTGTGAGAACTCGGGCGCAGCCGAGAACACCATTAAGTTCTCCATTACTCACGTCCACACAAACTCGCGCTGTCACAAACACACAGACACAAATACACATGCACGCAGCTACACTCACAAATACACACAGAAACACACAAACACATGCGAGCAAAATTGCACACATACACTCCCCACACGGAAGCGCACTGCCAAAACTAGGCAAAAAAAGATCCCCAATATAACCTTTTAACAGACCGTTAGCAAGCACCTATTAAAGCCGGCACGGCATATGATACATGCATAGATACACATAAACTTACACAAAAACACTCTCACACCACACATGAAGACATTCCCATGCAAAGTAAACACACTCGATAAGTGAACATGAAATAAATTCACACATTACATCGACATTACTTTTAAAAACAGTACAGGTTTCTCTCACTCACTTTATGTGGGTTCGGTTTGTGCGATTGCACGTATATATGCAGCTAACCTATTTCTACCCAAAATTCACTATATGCGGTTTGAATTCACTCACATGCGGCTATGTGGTCACACATTGAACATCATTGTGTGTGTAATGTATGCACTATTTGGCATGCCGGTCACATGTGGTTTCACTTTGTGTGTCCTTTTCTTGGAATGCATCTACCGCGTAAAGCAAGGCAAACCCGTAATTACAAATATATAACTTATCTCAGCCACAGGACCGGCTGAGGTAAGTTGATGATGTCAGTGGCCATGTCGCACGGGGACTTTACTGCAGCTATGTTACGTCAGGATTATTTTCCTGGCAGCTCTTGGCTGGTGTAGCAGGAGTGGTGACGTAATCCCTGGCAACCACTAACGCGCCCAGCATTGCTATCTCGTTTGGACACGTACAAATACTCTGCGTGTTCACCTGTGCAGTTTCGGAGCCTTGACACCAATCGCTCTCTGGCAGACAAATATTTTCCTTATTCAAACCCCTATTTGCCATCATAACGGATACAGTGCTGTTTTAGGCGGTTAGGTGTATTTAGATGAACATAAAAGTAAATTACATATGTTCTCCTTTGGCTCATTCAGTAATTAAATTAATGTTTTGTAATGCTGGTTACATTTCAGTCATTTGTTTTATTACACAGGCACATGTCATATTACGTTCATCTGTGTTCTAAATAGCACTTGTTTTAATACATTATCTAACACAATGTTTTTTGTCCATAGATTTTAACACTGGGGTAATTGTGCAATGATTAACACACTATTCTATGACGGCGAACAGTGGCATGTGGTAACTGAACCAGACCTGGGCCCCTTGCTTGAGCAACCCACATTAACCAGTGTGGAGAAGTATAGTCAATCAAATCCCATGACCGATACAGTTTGGGGAGGCCTTCATCCATCCCTAGAATGACATAAAAGCCATCATTTATTCTTTATTTTATTAGTATAACTGTCATTGAACATTGCATGTCATGGTGCATTACAACAAAGTTCTCTCAGCATGGTTTATTTGTTTAGAAGAGCCGTAAAATCCAGGCACATGCATGAGGCTGATTGTGCAGAAATCATTACTCAGTTGTGTGTGCTTAACATTATCTGCAGCAGAAACTATATTCGCAACGAGGGGTGGGTGACAGAACCACGCCCGGGCCGCCTTTGTCCCCCCAGTGGCGATGTTCACACAGCAGACCAGTTACCGGTGGTGGCCATGAGCGGGAATCGAACTCGGGTCGCCGGGTTCGTAGCGCAGGGCGCTAACCACTACACTACAATGCGTTACGCTTCCACACACACGGACACACACACAGACACACACACAGACAACGCTAACCACTACACTACAATGCGTTACGCTTCCACATGAGCGGGTCACAAGACAGATTTGACGTGTCACAGCTCACTTGCCGTGCAAAAAATATATGCATTATTGAGCTCCCCCACACACAAAAAAAGTGTATTTTTATAATTTTTGCATGGTGTACAGTCTGGAAAGTACTCACATGGCAAATTTCAAGTTTGTTGCATGTCGGGAAGTACGCTACAAATATTGAACAGACACATAATCACAACTTTGCCTATTATATATGCAGATAGGTTTGACAGGGTTGTGCAAGCGAGTGAACCACTGCCATTTAATTTACTTTTAGGCTTGTTTTATTGCCAGGTCAGCCCAGGGTGTTAATGGTAGGTTTGTTTAATATGACAGTGGAAATCATATGAGGTTTACATCTGCGTGCTGCATGTATCCACACAATTTTACTTTGTTGCTGATATGTTTAGGGCACCTTATGGTGTAATCTTCTTTGTTGTAATCTCCACACAGCCATCTTTGGTATTCATGTATTAAGCTTACATTAGTTTTGATGCCACCTTCAGCCCTTGGAAAAAAATGCATACAGATACAGGTTACTGATATTTCTGCCCAAAAGTTTTTTTTAACCATGTTTTCATGTAAATAGCTGCCCTCTTATAACAATTTCCGTATGTTCAGTGAAGTTTTTGTACTTAATTTTGTTTGTTATTATTTAGTTGGGGGCCCAACATTGCAGGCCCCTTTAAGTTCTGCAATCATTTCCTTAGGTTGTGATCGTAACTGTCTACGATGGTTAATCTTTTCCATTTTTTATGCCAATTTCTCCAATTCAATTTCAGAAAATATATTCTTAACTTGCTGTCAATAGCCTTAATGTAATCTCGGTGTAGCTGTTCCATATTTATGAACTAAGATAATTGTTGGAAAAACAATTAGAAAACACATCACTATGTATGTCTAGACCAATTATTGAAGATGAAACAGGATTAAAATAAATAAAGATGCAAAAAGTTGGAGTGCTTTCAGGAAAACTTAATTTATTAATGAAAAGCAAGATCTGTGTTCCTGAAGAAGACGTTTTTCAATCGAGTGCCTACTACCTGCTGTGACACAGAAAACAAAATATAAAAAAAGGTTACGTGAAGAAGCATGGCAAGATGTGTGCTTTGAATTGCACTAAGAGGTAGATAAATACTTGCGTCAGGGAACAAACATAAATTCTTAACAAAGCAAGCATTTCATGTAAAGATGCATGGTGGCCACTACCATAGCCACTGGATAGTCTTATTTGGGTGTTGCTCGCATTGACAAGATGTATTCACCATAATAAATGCAAGCTGTTTTAAGTTACCTGAAACTGTGCTTTTATTGAATGGTTTCTTTTTTAGGTTTGTAAAGAGTTGTCTTTTGTTTATTTTAGGGCATCCAAATCAAAACATTGCATTTCATGCAATAAATGTGTTGCTCGTTTCGACCATCATTGCCACTGGCTCAACAACTGTGTGGGCAGGAGGAACTATTGGTGAGTGGGCATTTATTGTGTGTGACTTAACGCATGGCCGGCACACAACCATTTTACAATCCTGTCCAAAGAATGGCCTCGAGTGCTGCTCATTCAAACCAATTATCAGTTTCGACGATGGTTGGTTCTTAACCTGAGGTGCACGTACCCCCTGCGTGTGCGAGATGCCCTTTCTGGGGGTGCACGGCATGGCCAGATTTTTTTTAGAAGGTCAATCATCGAAACACAAATTAAGCATGGGCACGTAAGTGCAACTACTTTTTTTCTTCTTTGGTTATTTCGGTAAAGTCACGTAGAATGAGAATAAAATAAAATAAGACAATAAAATTCTCACGACGTTTCGGCCACAACACAAGTGGCCTTCTTCAGGTGAAAGAACAGAACTGTCGTCCCGAAAGAACAGAACTGTCCCGACAGTTCTGTTCTTTCACCTGAAGAAGGCCACTTGTGTTGTGGCCGAAACGTCGTGAGAATTTTATTGTCTTATTTTATTATTTTATTCTCATTCTACGTGACTTTACCGAAAGAACCAAAGAAGATGAATCCTTGCAGTCACGGAAGCTTTAAATGGAAATGCAACTACTTTGTTTCATCAAACCCTCTGTGTGTATGTACATTCTATATTGTTAACGATTGAGATCCAAAGGGGTGCAAGGCTGCAGTGAAGGTTAAGAACCACTTGCTTTTATTTTCATCTTAAACTTTTCTGCAAGCCTAGAGAAACGTGGCTTGTTAACAGCAAGGTAATTTTAACTTCCGATGATGTCCCTTCCCGATGGAGCACGTGCATGGCTGTGGATAGGGTATCGAGCAGAATATGACGTGATTTATGAATGTAAGGTTGCATTGATGCTTGCACTCAATATACATGCCATCGAATTATGTGTGTGAATCGATTATTATACATGTAAATTATATGCTAATTAAAAAATCTAGTTAATTGGGCAAACAATTGTACAAGACAAAATAAAAGAGACCGGGAAAATGAGACAAAACAGAATATAATTTTTACCCCGAATCATAATCATTGCTATAATGGGGTTGGTGTGTGGGTACGAGTGGTTAAATGTAAAACGTGTTTTAATCATCGGTGGCCTTTAAAAAGCTATGTATGTATTGCAATGTTTAAGTAGCGAGCTGTTCCTTGCAATATGAATATATGAAGCCACACATTGTGGCAATATAATAACAATAGGTCTTGGGGGGAAAAATCAGTTGGAAAAATTATTCACTGTGGACTTTGCTTTACTGCATATTGATTTGTTTGACCCGCTTCCGTGGATGTCATGCACCATTTACTGATTATAGCATGTTAGCAGCACTAGCTCATAGTGCACACAAATGCATATTCTAATGTGTAGAAAACATTCAAGAACTATATATATATCTGACTTGGTCCCCAATGTGCTGTGAGCATGGTAAGTTGATTTGCTTTTCTGTCCTGTTACAGGTTCTTTTTTGGCACGATGATATCTGCTGTGATTGGGCTCTCCATTATCTTGGCCAGTATAATGTATGTGTTTATCCAGTACTTCATCAATCCGGGAGCTCTTCGGGATCATCCTGCATTCTCAGGTTTGTTTTCACTGTCACATCTATTGGCATATTGAGCCCCGTGTTCAACAGAGGGAAAATGCCCCCTGACTTAAAAAAGTCACTGAGCTGACGTTCCAGCAATGAAATGTGAATGACACATCACAGTTGTCAACAAGCTTAGATATGATGTATAAGTTTAAAGTGTGATACATCATGAGGTTTCAGGATGAAGCCAAACATGTATTCTTGTGTAGTCACTTTTCGTTATTACGTTATAACGTTATTAAGTGTGTTGTTAAAAAAAGGATCATGTACAGTTGATCCATTTGGAAATTAACAAAATGTATATTTTTTCTTTTTCAGAATTGAGTGGTCCAAATGAATGGCTGGTGTTCCTGCCATCTGCTCCTTTGCGCATGAGTGGCATTAGTTTTATCATCTTTGTTGGGGTGACAATGTGTTTTGATGCAATTTCCTGTATATTGATAATGCAGCTGCTTTGCAACCACTTTTACCTATGTAAGTAATACACCCTGGCAGTTTACTGCATACGCTTAAGGCCGAGTGTGCTGAAGCTATAGATAACCAGTATTTACAAGACTTGCCCATAAATGAATTAGGAGTAAAACTATTTAAAAAAATATTATATTTTTTAAAACAAGCAAAGAATTTAATACAGTCAAACCTCTTTATTCACCCATTTTTCCTTTCCCGAAATTTGATTGTTCGCGATTTATATTTGTATACCAGTTTAACTTTCACACCTTTTTCCGTCGACCATTCACGGTTTGGCAACATCGCATCATGGGGGAGGAGGCACTGTAGTACAGCAGTGGATTGTGGCCTTTGCTTGCTGCAAAATGCTGAAGCATTTACTCTTCCATTGCCGTTGCCTTTTGTGCTTTTTCTTCTGATTTGTGGGTAGGGTTTTACTTGGATCATGGTGACTAAGCGTCAGGCGAGAGGAGGAAGTTAGAGCAAGCGTAAAAATGCATAAAAAAGTGATGAGCTTAGCTCAAAAAGTGCAGTTGTTGGATAGACGTGCTATCGCGTGTGTCCTGTTGGCTGCCGTTACATGATAAACGAGTCAACAGTCAAATGTATTGAGAAAAACGAGAGGGCAATTATGGAAAGTGTAGCGGCAAAAGTAGTAGCATCACACCCCCATCGTTCAAGGTCAATAAAGCTTCCAAATTAACAGTATAATTGATTACGTGTTTTGTAGCGTGTTATCTATTCGAATGATTGTACAATTTAATTAATTGGATGCTATTTATGTTTACAGTACAGGATTAATGTTATGAAACGTGTTCTCCCCAATGTTTAGTCGGACACGGCAACCTAACCCCCCATTCTCCCATATAACCATAGCATCTACATTCGTCGAATTCTACTTTCACGCAGATTTTCAAGAACCTAACCCTTGCCTTACCGTACTCATTTCCTTGGATAGTTGGCGCCAAATTTACGCTAGAGGGCAGTGTTCACACACACACAACCTAAATTAAAGAAATTCAGTAGTGTTCATTTTTGTTTAATGGCCTAAGCTTTAATAACGTAGTGCTCCTCCCTTATAAGTACCATCTTCATTGATACATGAAATCTACTGGCAGTGTGCAATATATTTGTTGCAGCTGTACATGTACTATAGTCGTTATTTAGACAATATATACACACAGAAACGCACACATGCCAGCTGTCACTAAGGGAGAATTTATCCTTTTGCTGTGAAATGAGAAGTCGGTTAGGTCAAGAGACTGCAATGACCGATAGTATGGGACTTCAGCTGGGACACGATGTGAATTGACCTCTGATGAACTGCATAAAAGAGGAGTGCCTCCTGCTAAGCATCCATTGATGTCTGCAGTGACAATACCATGCAGTATGTTATTTGCCATCCTCAGCCAAATAACTGCACGAGTACATTTAATGTATTGGCATGCATAGCACGCCACTGGATAACTTGTTTAAACTAATGAGACTTGTAAGTTCAATATACATTTCCGCGGTGCTGAGACTGAGCTCATTTGCTCAGCATTGCGTGTGACATACCTCGCTGGCCCTTGTGTACGGCAGTCTACCACAGGATAACCACATATGACTACATTGTGCTGAAACGAAATGAAAAGGAACGTCAGAAGCGAATCGTGGAAGAAAGGGCGGCCAAGGCTCAACAGACCAATTCTCATGGCATTGAGGTAACACAATATTTCCATTCAAATTATACCAAATCGCACAACATGTGCCCAACTGGCTTACCATTTGCATAGGAGACAAACGTAATTGAGTTATTACAGTGTCTACAAAAAGACTGATAAATATGGTTGCGGTGTTGCATTGGCCTTAATGCTAAACGCATCCTTTCTGCATTGGAATAAACTCTTGATAGTCATAGCAGGCAAACGGTGATGAGCTCTACACACTAGTAGATATGCAATTATTCTGCCACCACCTCGCCACCCTCCAGGAAATGCATGGATTGGCACAAGTAATGCGATGCAAAGCAAGACACATTTTTTCAGTCAAATTTTTACCATCTCGCTTGTATATATTTTTTGTCTGTCTTTCAGCTCGTATAATATTTGCATATAATTTGAATGACTGATGCATGATTCGATGTATGTTTCGTGAATATAAGCATCTATTTTAATCACTAAATCGATGCATCGTTAGATATGCCTCCATGCCTGGGTGGCTGTTTTACTTTAACTAAACAACCGTTGTCAAAAATGGGTTAAACAAACATTTTGCATTTGTGAATTAAAACACAAAGGACCCCCCCCCCCCCCCCCAGCATGATCTCATTGTTTAATATGTAGCATTGATACATGTGAAATTAATACAGCTTTGACATTTCACGTAGACTCTGTGATCGAGTAACAATATTGTTTGCTTCCGAAAACAAAACAACATACACACATTGGTTGCTTGCCAGGTAGCTTGCCCCTTAGCCAGAGAAGATAGTCGGCACTCGTGTTACTTCACCTAGCTGCTGCCTATATAGTTATTTGATAGACCTTATTTTTAGTCACTGTTAGCACTTAAGAGAAACACTGTACAACGGTTTACTGCTGCAGTGCGGTGTCACCATGGCACACGTTGTACTCACTCGCACTTTTTTTGTGAATTTAAATGAGCGTGGTGAGAAATTTGGCCAGTATTCTGGCGCAGCTTCAATCGCACAATAAATACCTTCTCCGAGTATGACACGTGTTTTTGGTCATGCGTATATATACAGTATTATGGCACCAGAATAGTTTGAAATGAGAAGATAATTCGATTGAACTTGATCAAACCTTTAGGCAAGCATGCTAATTCTGCAGGCCACCCAGCCAACCAGCCTGATTGCCTAATGCTCCAGGCTCGTTAATGTTTTAAATTGTCCTGTGCACGCACGTTAAAGTGTAGCATGTACACATACAAGTTTTTTTGTTATCATTGCTGTGAATGAAATATGTTGTCAATAAAACTAAATATTGGCAAAAATACTATACATGTAGTATATGGCACATTGTACAAATAAGAGGCTTCCTTGATGGTAAAATGAAAAAAAGTCTAATAACCTTTTCCCCCAAATGTATTTATAGTTTTTTTTTACATATGCAGTGAGGGAAAAAAATATTTGATCCCTTGCTGATTTTGTACGTTTGCCCACTGACAAAGAAATTATCAGTCTATAATTTTAATGGTAGGTTTATTTGAACAGTGAGAGACAGAATAACAATAAAATCCAGAAAAACGCATGTCAAAAATGTTATACATTGATTTGCATTTTAATGAGGGAAATAAGTATTTGACCGCTCTGCAAAACATGACTTAGTACTTGGTGGCAAAACCCTTGTTGGCAATCACAGAGGTCAGACGTTTCTTGTAGTTGGCCACCAGGTTTGCACACATCTCAGGAGGGATTTTGTCCCACTCCTCTTTGCAGATCTTCTCCAAGTCATTAAGGTTTCGAGGCTGACGTTTGGCAACTCGAACCTTCAGCTCCCTCCACAGATTTTCTATGGGATTAAGGTCTGGAGACTGGCTAGGCCACTCCAGGACCTTAATGTGCTTCTTCTTGAGCCACTCCTTTGTTGCCATGGCCGTGTGTTTTGGGTCATTGTCATGCTGGAATACCCATCCACTACCCATTTTCAATGCCCTGGCTGAGGGAAAGAGGTTCTCACCCAAGATTTGACGGTACATGGCCCCATCCATCATCCATTTGATGCGGTGAAGTTGTCCTGTCCCCTTAGCAGAAAAACACCCCCAAAGCATAATGTTTCCACCTTCATGTTTGACAGTGGGGATGGTGTTCTTGGGGTCATAGGCAGCATTCCTCCTCCTCCAAACACGGCGAGTTGAGTTGATGCCAAAGAGCTCCATTTTGGTCTCATCTGATCACAACACTTTCACCCAGTTGTCCTCTGAATCATTCAGATGTTAATTAGCAAACCAGACGGGCATGTATATGTGCTTTCTTGAGCAGGGGGACCTTGCGGGTGCTGTAGGATTTCAGTCTTTCACGGCGTAGTGTGTTACCAATTGTTTTCTTGGTGACTATGATCCCAGCTGCCTTGAGATCATTGACAAGATCCTCCCGTGTAGTTCTGGGCTGATTCCTCACCGTTCTCATATTCATTGCAACTCCACGAGGTGAGATCTTGCATGGAGCCCCAGGCCGAGAGAGATTGACAGTTCTTTTGCGTTTCTTCCATTTGCGAATAATCGCACCAACTGTTGTCACCTTCTCACTAAGCTGCTTGGCAATGGTCTTGTAGCCCATTCCAGCCTTGTGTAGGTCTACAATCTTGTCCCTGATATCCTTGGAGAGCTCTTTGGTCTTGGCCATGGTTGAGAGTTTGGAATCTGATTGATTGATTGCTTCTGTGGACAGGTGTCTTTTATACAGGTAACAAGCTGAGATTAGGAGCACTCCCTTTAATAGTGTGCTCCTAATCTCGGCTCGTTACCTGTATAAAAGACACCTGGGAGCCAGAAATCTTTCTGATTGAGAGGGGGTCAAACACTTGTTTCCCTCATTAAAATGCAAATTAATTTATAACATTTTTGACATGCGTTTTTCTGGATTTTCTTGTTGTTATTCTGTCTCTCACTGTTCAAATAAACCTACCATTAAAATTATAGACTGATCATTTCTTTGTCAGTGGGCAAACGTACAAAATCAGTAGGGATCAAATACTTTTTTCCCTCACTGTATAAAGCATTTCCAAAGCATTGCGTTTCCAAATAATAAATAAATAGACCGAGTAACATTTAAAAAATGTGGACGGCCCATCTACATAACCAGTGTGTGACAAGCAACAAAGACGAGTCAAACAGCATGCTGGAGCTCGTTTCTAAGGGAATAGTTTTGTTTATTTACTTGGCTGGCAAATGATAGACATGCCCAAGGTCAACAAAAATATATTCATGATGTTAGTTTAAAATTGGCTTTTATTGTTTCACGTGGGTGGGGGTCATGTTAGGAGGGATATGGTGCCAATAAATAAGGCATCGGACAGTTTTAAATATATTTACTGTGAATATTTTCATAAACCTTTTAGAGTCAAGATGCATTTTTGGTTACACATGGATTGCAACACTTTCCTAGGTGTGCTTTGAATAAACTCCTAAAAATAAACAAGTACTGAAAGCATTGCTTTTTGTTGCTTAGCGACAGTCATAACTGTTACATTTGCACGAAATTTGGTTGTGTTTGGACAACTGCTTATGATGATTATGTGGTAGTTATTTCTGATGAATGCTTATGTTCAGCTGGGATTGATCAGTTATTGTTGTTTTGTGTGGCTAAGTGCTGTCCAGCTCACATTTCACACAACCGTTGCTTAACATTGAGCCCGTAAACACGGCCACACAACAGGGTTTAATGTTGCTCAAATTACCACACTGTAATTTGATAAAACAGCCCGTTCAAACAGCTGTTAGATGTAACCATTTTGTAAAAAAATGTAATCTTGTTATGTAGTGCACACCAGGTATTTCCTACACATGTGTGAATTAAAATCTTAAATCATTCTGACTATTAAAAGTTTTTCTCCCAAGAGCCTTTGAAAATAATCATGTAAGAAAACAAATTACAAGACTTTATAATTCACACTTAAAATGACAATAATACTGAATAGTATATAACACTGCCGAGTGAAAAACATTGGTTGATTATTTTTTTTGAAGGAATATGTTTTAAATTTGGCTGGAAAAGCTCTTTCAATTTGATGTTCATTTTCTGTGTTTCAGAATGTTAATCGTGGTGCTCCAATTGCAATTAATATGGACTTTCCAAAGCAACTGGTTCAAGGACAAAAGCGAGTATTTGTGAAAATCTTGTTTGTTATTCAGTCTTACTGTACGCTATGACATGGATCACAAATTAAGTCATTCACAAAGAAAATGGAACAAAAACTGAGAAGTATGCAAATAAGCATAATAGATGCATGCTTGGAATTATGTTTAGAGACAAGAGGAACACATGTATTATACAACGGATGCAGATTGACTAACTACGAAAAATAAGTGGGGCTGGGTAGTATACGGTGTGAGAAAGGATGATAACTGGTTGGCAGAAATAATGATGGAGTGGCAGCCGAGGGATGGAGTGGCAGCCGAGGGATGGAACGCATCGAGAGTATGCCCACTCAGGAAATAGAGTAATGAAATAAGCTCGTGTGCAGGTACTCGATGGATTGTTGCATCTCGGTATTATGGGAGATGGCAGTGTGGGGAGGCCTTTAACCAACAGTTGATTGATCATAGCTGATGATGGTGATTGCAGTTTGTGAAAATTATTTTTATGCTATACTTTTTCATGGAGCTCAACACAATTATGTATTGCCCAGACCATTGGGATTGAGTGGCAAAGTGGATTTTGGTAAGTTTTCTTGTGTTTCGTATTTGTACAATCATGCAGGAAATATTAAAAGGGCCAAAATTAACAATGGTCTTTGGAAACGTTTTTTGTCCACTCTGGGAATCTCTCCAAGAAAGCTGATCTACACATCTTGCCATGGAGATATGCAGAAGGGATATTACAAGGTTCCACCTGATAGCATTCACCCATTGATCTTCCACAAGCACTGAGCTGTTCGTTCTTTCTGAAGAAAAAAATATAATATTGCAATGTTCAGATATTGAGAACATAAATTTGAGCCACGTAAGAAGTAGCTTTATCTTGGGTTATATAAGAAATTTTATTTTGCCAGCCCCAGCAATAACCACTCCTGTTTCATAATCCACAGCATATGCATGGAATGTTAGTGGCAGCATTTGTTATGATCATCAACAACAATTTCTTCACGGGCATACAGCCACAGAGACACCAATGTAAAACTACTCGAATAAAGCGAGATATGTGTGGGGTTGCTATGGAGATGCGATCAGGATTATGTTGAGGCTGCCGGTCCTGCGTGACCATAACGCATATACACAGGAGTGCTGGCCGGGCGTGTGTTGCTTGATTCCCGAATTCGGACATGCTGTGCAAGGGAACAGCTGCTCCGTGTGGAGGCAAAAGCGACGGTATGGGTTACACTGAAAAGCACGCCATCGTGGGCCTGGGTAAGCTGCAGAAATTGTAGTGTCATGAGCTAAAAATGGATGTGCTCAGAGGGAGAGGATTGGACACGGCCAAACTGTCACTGTGCGGTGATTTCAACCATATTGCTTCAATATTCACTTAGATACGTAAAAGTCATGTGTTGATTGTGTTGAGCGCAGTGTTTGTAAAATCTGACATGCCAAATGTCAGGACAGCTATGAATTGCCAAAATGCTATCGTACTCTCTGGCCTCTTAAATATGTTGGAAGCTCGTGTACTGCACAGGGAATGAGATAATGTAATTCTTGCAAGCAGGATCGCATTTTTCTTAGACAATGTGTTGTGTAAACATTTATACCGAATAATTAATCTTGCAAGCTGCTACCAATAGTAGATGTTACAAGTTTTGGTAGTTTTTTTTTACAAATACTGACCTTTTTTCCACCTTTGCTGTCTGTTGAAACATAACTTAACTGCTGCATGTCTATGAAATGCATGAAGGATTCTTAAGTCTAACAAATAGATCACTAATAAAATAAATCTGAGAAATGTGTCAGTAATTATAATAGATTTAGCAGCAGGGCCTTCAAGAGTGATTATATAGTGACAGATCCAAAAAGCAATTATGTGCAGACCCGAATGGTGTTTGGGCAATATGTACAGTATGATACTTCATCAAATCATAACCAAATGTACACTGACACAGATTACCGATGGGCAATACAATTATTTTCCTCAAAAAAAGCCTCTACTGTCTTGAGACTCTTCAAATAAAAACTGCAATGACCATAGCACATTAATCATATATGGATGGCAGTATATGTTTGCTTTTTAAAGATATGATTTGCAATTAAAAAAAACTCAATAATGATCACCATCAGCCATTTGTCATTCCACTGCTGGGTAAAGCTAAGTATTCCATAATCAAATTGATTTGGTCAATACCACTTGATATATAGAATATGGTGACATTGATAAAAAAGAAACATTACATTTGTGCATCATACTATTAAGAGTTTCAAGTATTTTAAACTCACACTCTCCTCGTGTGTGGCTCAGTGGCAGAGCGAGTGGCTCGCAAACACAAGGTTGTGAGTTAAATTCTAGGTTGGACGTTGACAGCCCATCTTCCCTCTGGGGTTAATAAAATCAGTATCACTATTTTGGGGAGATCACCCCCCCCCCCCGCCATAGGAATGTCCCACAACTGGCTCAGGACTGTAGACATGAGATGACCATTACCTTCAATGCCCATTTGAGCAGGAAATCACGTCATGTTTTTTGACCTCATTGTTAATGTGCATGATTATGACAATGGTGGCTCATAATGATTTCACTGCAATGAAAACAAACCCAGCGGTAATGTTTTATCATGCGAATGAAAATGTTATTCGATGTTGTACTTGTTTTAATTCAGCTTTTGCGTATACTTGCCCATAAAGTTACTATTGCATTTAAATTAAACACTACAGATTAGCAGGTGGGCAGAGCAGTATGAATCAGATTTTGACTTAAAACTTTCGTGACTGCAGGAATTCATATTCTTGGTTCTTTCGGTAAAGTCACGTAGATAGAAAAATATATATGTAAAAAAATCAAATAAAAAAATAATCCCTTTTATTCTATTCAAAAAATGTATATGCATTTTTTATTTAAATATTTTTATATTTTATTATTTTTTTCTACGTGACTTTACCGAAAGAACCAAGAATAGTATAAATCAGAGTTTGTACACTATGGGAATTTTATGTAAAGATTTTTATTCCTTGTGCCAGTTTCATGAACTAATTAGTTTTTTCTTCTTTCTGGCAAGTGCACCATGTACTGTTATATAAGCAGCACATGTCCAAGTCCAAACAGACTGAAACGAAACTCCGGAGTAAATGATGCATAGTGTGACATTTTGCACAAGTTGGAGCCTTGTTCTTCGCGAACATATATTCAAGCTTCTAATAATAAATCAGTGATAATAATGAAAGTCTCATCGTACAAAGTATTGAAGCTTTATTGAATAGTGCTAATGATGAACATAGTTCGCAGTATATATAAAATGTACTATGATATGGCAGAGGCTTAGCAGTGTCCGTGATATTAGCCTGTGCTGAGTGTACTCGGGACATAATACATTGTCCTCTGTCCGTAATGGTGCAAACTGCTGCTGAGCTGCATTAAACTAAGCACATGTATTTTTTTGCCAAAGCAAGGAAAAATGCCTATTAAGGTGTTTCTTAGCTAGCTGTTGCTCATTGCCGGCTGTTCTCAATTTGATCGGATAAATGAACCAAAATAACCATCGACTGAAATTTGAGATTTTTTTTTAATATAGCATTTGTGTTTTTTCAGTCACAGCACTGTTTTAAATGCTTTAATGTAAATAGGTAAATTCCGTTATTCTTTGCCATGTAATTTTGCAGTGTATTTAGAAGTTAAATGTATAACAAAAAAAACTGTGATGTCATGTATGCACATACACTCAATGATACTAAGTTGGGGTGAATGAAGAATTGTTTATTTTATTTTTCAGAGAAGCTTCTAAAGCAAGAACGGATGAGAGTAGCAAACATCTGGCTCTGCCACCTGCCCAAGCGTCTGCCCATGCCTCTTGTCACGTGGTAACAGCACCAAGCTTTTTTTGTTTTGTTGTGATGCATCACACACGCGTTGCTATTTTCATGTATGTTGCAAGTAATTTTCAAAGTCGTATTGCATTCGTTTTTTCCATACCCTCCCTGCAAAAGGCATTTAAAAAATGCCTGTACTGTATTTACTGACATGTCAATGACAGTATTGTACGAAGTTTTTGGAAAAGATTTGCATGGCTTGTGTGCTTTAGTATTTTTGAGTAAATGGGACCTTTGTGTTGTGTTTTAATGGTGATGTAGTTTGTCAGAATTGCTGGGCTATGATCACAATTGTACGGTTATGAGTGATGCTCATGCATAATATCAGTGGCGATTGATATCTGGAACGTCTTGTTGGTTTACTTGGCCTAAAAATGAGTACCTTGTGCAATGTGTCAGCATTATCAGTCGGTAAATGTGGCTGGGTGAGGTCCTGCTCCTACCAGCATTTGCTCCAACATTTGACAAGCATAACTTGACATTGGTATTTTTGTATACTTTAGGTTCACGAAAATAGGAAGAGTACCATAAGTATCTCATCCAAAAGCTCAATGGATAAACAGCGAGAAATTTTCAACAAAGGTACTTAATTTAATAAAATAATTTCTTACGTTCACAATACACACCAAATCTGTTTCTGAGAATCAGTTATTTTACAATGAATGATTTTTCCTTACCGAGCTACCGCTGAACAATGCTGTTATCGCACCCCAACTCAATGATTGCAACTCTCTCCTCTCCATCCTCATCTCCAGACAACCTAAATGCAATTACTCACACCCATAAACAAGACTACGTCACCTTAATTCCTTCCACTGGCTCCCACATCAATGCCAGATCAATTGCAAGATTGCACTTACCATCTTCAAGCTTCTCCATGTACTCACCCCTGGCTAGCTCTCTCCACTCTCATCTTAATCTACTCTCCACAAATTCTCCACCCCAGCAACTGAGCCTTCCTGTCAAAGCCCCGAGCGTCAACCTTTGCTCAGAGGGAGGTCACTCATTCTTTGCTACGCCCACAGTCTGAAACTCACTTCCCCTACCATCTGTGCTGTCAACTTGCTACCCTTGTTAAATTTCAGGCTCAAGATGTTCCTTTTTTCTCTGCCTATGACTAACTGCCTCTGTCTCTTCGTTATGTAAATGACGACTATTTCTTTACAGTGTCTTGAAATGTGGTTGCTTTTAGTTGCGATATAAATCCAAATTGTATTGTTTTTTTATTTTAATCATTAAATTGTTAATGCAAGCCAATTAACAAGAAGAGGGACTGAATTTGCCAATCTTTCTATTCCTGATTTCAAGAAGACATCCTCAAGGTGACTTGTATTTCTGAGGTTCAGAAACCACAAGATTTGTCCAATTGTTACACTGCCGCAATACAAAAACTGTGTGTATTTTACTTATAGTGCTGGGCTATGTATGGTATTATCCACTGGTGGTGCAGTAAACAGCACATCATGTTACATATGCGGCAGCCTGCGTTGTGATTTCCGGTTATAGCTAACATCAGTGTCAAGTGATAGTTCTGGACCCCATTCACCAACCCACACTCGCCAGCAGGTGAAGTATCGTCAAAAACCTGTAGCCTACGCCGTGCCTTTTCACACACCCATTACTCATCGTCTTAAATGCACACACCCACCTGGTCATGTGACCTCAACCTACATTGCCTGGCTATAATAACGTGTGATATTTATTTATTTCAGGTTCATCTGCAGCTGCTCATGAGGGAAATTCAGAAGTCCCTTCCTACTTTTCCTACCATCATGGTGCGCCTGTTAGTCTTCGAGTCAAGGGTAGTTTAACAGCATGCAGAAGCAGCTTGACTTAATTTTTGTTGCTTGTAGAAAGAAAGAGGAATGTCTTCTAAAATGTTCAATTTTGATTGCTATCCAGGTCATGTAGCAAGCAATTTGCTGGAACAAGCCAGGCTGACTTCAAACAGTGCATACAGAACTGGGAGTTTTTTCAGAAACCCTGTGTGAGTGCTAGCAGCCCGAAGATGAAAAGAATCAAAGAGGGGTGGGATTGGAAACACAATTCAGACTCCACTGTTCTCAGCAAGGCAAGAGGAGATAAGCGTTTGACTGTGTTAACTGCTGACAACAGTCTACTAGTAAAGAGTGCTTACCTCCAACACTACCAAGTCATTGGATGATATTCGGCTTCATAATATTGGAGCAGGAATTGATGTTAACTGATCTGTTTGTGCTCGAGTCTGCTGCCGACGTTAAAATTCATTTAAAGTCCCGTGTAACTGCCAGTGCAAGTGAGAGACTTGTGGATAATTTTACGTGGCAGGGAACGTAAGGTGCAGGGTCTTGCAAATGATAAGGAAAGAGGAGACTTTGGAAGTCCAGGAAATGTGAAATGTATGCAGGTAAACAATATTCCGGACAACGCGGTACGATAATGAGGCCAGCGCGCAATTGTCACTGCCACCATTTGCTTGGCAAAAAAACAAGAACTGAAAATGGCATCAATCATAACAAGAGTGTTTTGTGCAAGCGACATAAATCAACCGCGCATTATAGTTCCTGCAAGATGGTGTGATGGACTTTTGTGTCGTTTCAGTGAAGAGGATTGCTCTTCACAGGGGAAAACTATAACTTCGCTCTCCTTCGTCACTCCCCATATGAGCAAAGGAAATTGTTCAGGGTCCCTTCTGACAAGTGTATGTGCCACTGTGGTTATGTGGACAAAGGGACCATATGCACTGATGCAACTGTTCAGGTCGCAGGGTGGATTTTTAGGTGAGATAAAACTCAATATTTGCAATTAAGAAGACAATGGAAAGAAGTTCATCAACGGAATCGTAATTTAAAAACACTGCAGGGAAAAGCTATTTCAAGGTGGATGCTAGCCATTCATTAAATCACTTACTCAGACACTTGATATACAGACATCTTCCAAGCTTCAAATGGACGTTGGCTCTTCCGCTGAGAAATTATGCTTAAACATACTCTTAGTTAAAAGTCTCACTGCTCATAGTTGGTACAAACTGTTGCAATTCGTCCTGTTTTCCGTTTAGACACATAGTTGAAAATAATATAAAGTGTCAATTGTTACAATTCAGCATTTTTTATAATACTGCACTATACATTTTTAGGAGAATCGTGATAACATAAAAAGGTACGGTACAGGGATTTGTCTTTATCTTGCATAACCATTTTTTAAAGCTTGGATAAATAATACTTTATGTGCACTTGGGGCACAATTTATATGCCCTGCAAATATTGTTAATTGCATCTCCTACAAACTAAAAAGTACCGTAATAATTAGTGGCTTAGATTCAAACCCAGGAGCTCAGCAGTGACAGCTTATAGAATTAAAATATATATTAAAATAATTTTGAATTGATAGCGGTGTAGAAAAAAACACCCTACCAATCATGGACAGCAGATGGAGTGTGTGAACACATGGTTTTTAGTCTGGCGGTACATCGTTGGGATTTCTATACTGGGACAGAGGCAGATTGAAACAGACAAAAAATTTTGATTTTAAAAATTGTAAACAGAGGGACAAGGAGATATACACAGAGATCAATTCAGACCGATTACTTTTAATTTAGGCTTTTCCAAACTCCAGGCCTCGTGTTCAAACACAAAGTCATATGCTGCATGCATCTGAGGTAGGGAGTATTGATTGTAATAAAGATAGGATCTTGTTTTTATTCAGTGCTCTCCATAAGGGTTTTCACATTGGGGAAAAGATCAATGACCATTGTTCAACCCAAAGTGTCTTCATTTCACCATATAACTGCCAGGTGAAACATTTTAAAACATACCTCCCAGTGGTAGATTTTTGCAAGTAATTATCAGGATTCTACCTTATTGCGCTGCATTTAACACACTTTTTATTTAAAAGTAAAAAAAAATTACATACAAAATGCAATTCACTAATCACGATGTGCCTTTGACTTCAGATGTGGGAGATGCCCACTTGTGTCAGCTGCCTTAAAAAGGTGTGAAGAACCAAAGAACTTACACTGTCAGTCAATGCAATTGTATATGCTGTACTGTGAATATAATACATACTTATATATGAGCGTGGCTTTGTTCGCTCCAGCGCTGTCCTCGAGACAGTCTTGTCCCTTAACCTGATGAAGGCCGCTTGTGTTGTGGCCGAAACGTCGTGAAAATGTTATTGTTATTTGATACATTTATTATTTTATTCTCATTCTACGTGACTTTACCGAAAGAACCAAAGAAGATACTTAAAGCACTTTCATTGACTGCAATTTATTTCAAATCTGTAAAATGAATGTGCCAAATTATTCTTGATTTTTTTTTAGATTTTGAGGTTGTATAAGGATGCACTGATGACTTTGTGATGCTGTGTGATCATTGAGTCATTGTTTCCGATAATATAGTAATTATTTCTACGTACGCATTTGAAGAAAATTTGCACTTTAAAATAATGAAATGGCTTTTTTTTTACACGAGGCATTTTCCACGTTGAAAACATTCTTATAGCTTATGCATTCCAAAATAAAATGATTTGCTATGTCATTGTAATTCTATTAAATGTGTAGCTTTACATTTTTTACGCAATCAACAGGGTGTAATAGGTTACCACTCAAGAGTAAATGACATGGTTTGTATTTGTGCATCGGAAAACAGTCACCAATGAGAACTTGTTACCTTGCTATGTTGTTTGGAGTAAACTAATGGTAACATTTCAGCTTGTGTAAAATCACTTCCAAACACACCATTCTAGATATGCACACAGCTCATGATGAACGTAAGCTGCACACATTAGGTTGAATAAACGTATAAGTTTCATCGAACAAGAACGGAAAATAAAAAATAAAACGCCAACGATTTACTTTCCATTTTCTTTGAAATTATATAATGCTTATCAATGTTAATGAGCAGTGGATAAGAGTTGAGAATTTATAAAATAATCTTCGTTCCGTTGTTCACTCTGATAATTCATACAATTAAAAAAATAAAGATAAAGACTTTTTAGCAGTTGAAATATCTTTAAGAAATTCAAATCCAATTGAGAATTGGCTTTTTCTTGGATTATATGTCAATTCAAATGCTATTTAAGGTGACAGACATTATGGTGGTAACCTTGATATAACAAATGCTATTTTACTGTGTAGCATGGATGTATTAAGGCTTTTATATATAACTATTTACATAGTACATTGATTATAAGGTATATCTAAACAATGGTGTTTAAGCATATTGGCATGGTTTTCAGATTTATAATTTAAGTTGGGTTGCCCCGATACCCTTTGTGGCACACTGCAAACTGAATAACGCAGGGATGGACACAAATTTAATCTGAAGGGATAGAGGCGCAAAAGAGCATAGTAATAGAATGACTTTACTGTCCTTTTTGCTTGCCTGGGTAATTTTCTAAATACAACAGGCTCTTTAAAAAGTCAACTATTGGGGTTTATTACTTGTTGTATGGGCTCCGGGCATTAAATTAGGGCCACATGCCATTGTATGAAAGTCTTAGGCAGCCAAAGTATGAGGACTTAAGTGTATCCATTAATCTGCATTGTCTAGCTGTGCTATGAATTCCATATGCAAAAGTTAGAGCCCTGCTGTACAGCAAAGTTTGTTTTGTGACAATACAATGTTTGTGTACTATGTGCTTGAGTCCTCTGATGTTTTAATACGTTTGAGTCCTCAACAAACTGTTTCGAGCAATAATCATGGATACCCCCCCCCCCCCGCCATCATATTTTATTGACATTGGGGAATGGATGTGTGCTACATAACGACAGTATATTGTATTGGTAGTAGACAAATGAGAGATGAGGAATGCTGTTTTGGAACCATTGCTCTGTCAACAATATTAATGTAATTCCAAATAGCCTGTCAAGACAAAATACATTAACCCTTGGTAGAGAGGACAGTGGAAAGTCGGAAAGTGGTGTTTATTTTGGCACAATCTCATTCAGCAAACCATTTTGTTTGGAATCTATAGTTACTGTACCAAGCCCTCGAATGTGTGGGAGATTGGAAATGGGACAGCATGCACCATACATTAGCCCTGTTATCAAGAACATCATTCATTGATCCATATTTGTGTTTTTGGGTAAAGCCACGTGGTAGACATGTGAAAATAACATACGTTTGAAGGGAATGACATTAAAGTTGCCCTGATGTTCAGGACAATATTGCCAGTATTTAATCAGCTATATTATATCCATATTCAGAGTACAACTTGGATTCTTAAGCATATTCATTTAACCGCGTTTTAAATTATTGGACCGAAAGTATAATGTGCATCGTAAGTTCTAAACTCCACACTACCATCACTGGTTAATAGAGCTTGTGACTTTAAACTTATATACCATACATGGTATTATATACTGTAACCGTATATACAGTCCCCTGGTGTCTACAAACTAAGTTGCCTCTGTGGTAGTAGTTACATTGGAGAAACCAAACGACATGTCTCGGACCGCATTCGTGAACACAAAGCAGACCTTAAACACAGTAGGACCAACACCTCGGCCATGGCAGATCACTGTTATAATTCAGTAGGCTCACATGACATTGACTTCTCCAAGACAGGTTCTTTGCAAGCCATCTGGCTACCATGAGAGATTCGTTCATGAGGCTATCCACATATACAAACACAGAGACAATTTCAACTGAGAAGATGGATTCTGGCTTAGCAATCATTGGAAGGATTTGATAAACCATTTCGGGTCTTAATTGATTGTTCACGCTTACGGTGGCTTTCAGACAGCATACATTAATTTTTCGTCTCCCCCCTCCTCTTTTCCGAACATAGATGGACTCGTCCATCTAAACTGTCAAATCGCTATCCGTGGTGCTAACGTTTAAAAATAAATAAATACAAACCGCCACTTCTTTCAAATGTTCTTGCCATTGGTTTTCACACCTGATGATGACTGCTTGTGTTGCAGTCGAAACGTCGTGAGAATTTGATTGTTTATATATTTTATTATTTTATTGTTTCCCTTCAACGTGACTTTACCGAAAGAACCAAGAATATTGAAAAGACAGTTTGTTGTTATTCTAGGAAAACTATGGATTCGACATTGGAGTTAGCCTGTTATGAAAAATGAAGTCAGAAAAAAACCTTGCATAAATTGTCACCCACAAGCATTAGTAGAATGCAAAACAAACAAGGAAGACACATGCAAATAATTTGATTCTCACGATTTACAAGATCTCTATCTTCAAGCTTTTAATGTTTTAATGCGTACTACCCAATATGATAGAAATGTTGACTTACGAAGAAAATGGAAAGTGTGCAAATTTAAACTGCGAAAATGTAAATGTGCAAAAGTAGCATGGATAGGTGGATACTTTGAATTACCTTGAAAGACATGAACATACGCAAGCAGGTCAAATGCATCATGAGGACTTAATAAGAGTGGGCCTCGGCACAACACATCACTATCGGAGATGTCTGATGGACTGGATTTACGATGGAGTAGAAACTAAAGGTGGGTTCTCTGCTGACACGCATCAGCCAAAGAAGAAATGTACCGAAGAATGCGTCCACCACGGAGATGGAGCAAAGAATACATCAGTCTGGAAGCACGCCTTGGGTGGATCGTGCTATTGCGGGACCGCGGGGAATGGAGGTGACTGAAAGGCCTTCGTCCAGCAGTGAATTGTGGTTGAAGGAAAACGTTATTTTGCGAGCTGCAAAGGATGATGTCAGACAACATGTGTGACGCCACCGCATTGGCCGAAAAGGCTTTAAATGCGCCGTGTCGGGGTAGAAGCAATTCAAAGTACCCGCCAAACATACGGGAACATACTCTTTGGTTCTTTCGGTAAAGTCACGTAGGTATAAAATAAATCACGACGTTTCGGGCGCAACACAAGCATCCGTCACCAGGTGGGATGAAGTCGCACACAGCGATGTCATCGCAGCATGTGCGTACGACGTGAGACGTCAACAGCCTAGCCGAGAAGACTATCGCTGGATTATATTGCAAAGTTTTCCATAACCCCCTTTATCAATTTGCCCGGTTCCGTCGATGGTAAATTCCTATTAGCCAACAACCTTATAATAATAAAATGAAAAAAATCAAGACAAAATGCTTGATTTTTACGTGAAAATAAATACAAATTATCATAGTGTATACACTGTTTAGAGGTCATATTGCAGTAGTATATATATTTTAAAATACATCTCAGTAAACATGGAATGATGGGTTAATGTTGGTCCAACGGTTCCAAGCACATGCGAATGCTGGTCCAATGCTGCATGTTTACCGGGATTGTGTGTAAAGTAATATATTACGCGGTGAGCCAACTTCAGTATGCTTCATTAAACAGCATTGGCGCTGAGATTCAGTTCATATACTCAGTGGCTGAATACTGCGCTTTAGTCTGGACGTGCAAAATCCACACCAACGCTCAATGCCATGATGCGTACCATAATTGGGACATTAAAATCAACGCCCATCGACTGGCTGCCAATCCTGTCCCTCGTACATCCATCCACCCAAAATATCTTGTGTCAACACGAGTCCAAACCTACCGATTCAAAAGGACCTTCAGAACTTCCCATAGTCTAGATTAAATTCCCACAACACACTTTTGGATCGTCGAGCACAGACTAAAATCAATAATACATGTCCATCGACTAACATCGTTGAAGCAACGTCCATAGTCTTAGTCTATGGGCACCCCAGTGTCAACCTATGGGTATTTATTTTGCATGTAACCCTATGGGCATTCTTCTTTATGTCCGCCGATTGGCATTCGTTTATTAATGTTAGTCTATTGGCTTTCCGTTTCATCAATGTTAGTCTATGGGCATCAGTTTCAATGTCATTCACATTCTTGAGACGTTAAAGATCCCTCGACGTCATTTGCAAGATTATAGGCCACCGCGTGCCGGCGTCATGGTCTGAATTGCCAAATTTGAAAAGCAAGACCCCCCAAATTACTTGATTGGAATACACATAGCAGTCGTCTGCCTTCACCCCTCGACAGCGAGGACTTGGCACGATGCTCCAGAGAAGGAATCGCGAGACTCAGTGAGGCGTTACTGTGTTAACATGCAAAAAACAAACTGATAACACTGCTCCCGTTCAATCGTGGGGCACAGCGGACAGCAACCTGTGGCAAAGGCAAAGATTTTACTGGTAGGAACCTCCTGGTTACATTACCAGCCCACAGGGGATTATTGTGTCCGTCCGTCGTGCATCCAAAAATGGGAGGGGTGGGGCTGGGTGGAGAGGGGATGGTGGGGAGGGGCTGGGTGGAGGATGGGAGGGGTGGGGCTGGGTGGGGAGGGGCTGGTCACCCCGTGGTGCCCTTATAAAACTAAACGTTTAACTCATGCCGGCTTGTGCCCGCCCTCACATTCGGGCATATTTGCGGAATACACCACGTGGTGCCGCCGTTGACCCTGGCCATTGACCGAGCAACCAACGTTCCTACCAGCTCCCTCCGCAGGAATGTGTTCTCCCCCGCCGCCTCCATAGCCTTAACAGACTGTTGGAGCAAGAGCTGTGAGAACTATACAATTGCACCACACACTCCAACATTTACTACACTCTGCTATACATCACACACTAAAGGGTGCACCCATGCACAAAGACAAAGATCTCCCCATGTCGCCTGAATAGACTTGGAGGAAGTGTTATTAGCGAGCACCTATGAAGGCCGGAACGGCACACGAGGGGGTGTTGTGGCCAGCACAAACACCCGGCCGCCTTTGTCTCCCCAGTGACGATGTTTGCACACCTCACCAGGTACCCTTTTGAGGCGGCGTTAACCCGACAAGAGACCCGAGTTCGATTCTCGCTCACGGCCAATACCAGTGACGATTATCTGAACTATCCTCCTGCAATTAAACCGCCTTCTAATAACCTTACCATGACACTAAGGCTATAGGCTATTGTCATTCGATGTAACGACCCCATATTCACAGTGACAGTAACCTTTATCGAGTGGAATGAAGTGATTTAACACGAGGCTCAACACCTATGAGAGTTACAATACACTAATTGCAGACATTCATACATGGTGACTGAAACCATCAAGGATGTACCACGATTACACAGTATGACAGGATTCTGCATCACAAATAGACATCGCATAGCCCAAATCAATGTCATTATCAAAGAAACAAGAACAAACCCACAACATATTCATATTCTTAGCTCTTTCGGTAAAGTCACGTTGAAGGGAAACAATAAAATAATAATATATATAAAACAATTAAAATTCTCACGACGTTTCGACCATAACACAAACGGTCGTCATCAGGTGTGTCGGTTCGCATTAATTTATTTATTTTTAAATGGTGTATTTATTTATAAAAAACGTCAGCGCCACGCGCAGCGATTTGGCAGTTTATTTAGAAGGACTAGTCCATCTATGTTCTGAAAAGAGGAGGGGGGAGACGAAAAATTAATGTATGCTGTCTGAAAGCCACTGTAAGCATGAACAATCAATTAAGACCTGAAATGGTTAATCAAATCTTTCCAATGATTGCTAAGCCAGAATCCATCTTCTCGGTTGAAATTGTCTCTATGCTTGTATATGTGGATAGCCTCATGAACGAATCTCTCATGGTAGCCAGATGGCTTACAAAGAACCTCTGTCTTGGAAAAGTCAATGTCATGTGAGCCTACTGAATTAT